AAGCTTACTACTAAAATGAGCTAAACTAGCATTGCACTGTATTCCTCTGAATTGTTTTGTTTGTAGAGAAAGTAAAGAAGCGTCCGTCACAGAGAGGTTGGGCGTGGTGGTGAAGGCTGAAGAGACGCTGCCTCTTAAAGTCTGAGCTCAAAACCAGCAGCCAGCTAATGCTCACTGTCTTTGGCTGGAGGGGCCTGAAAAATAAACACAAAACTCATATTAACGTAAGACGCTTAGCTTAATTTAAATAATGTCTTTCTTCTTGACACAAATCCTTGTTTACAACTATGGTCAGTATATATGACTTTTTTTAAATGTATTTTTTTATTCACATTTTGGTGTGATCCACGTGGCCATTCGGTTTGGCAGATTGGCAAATTGTATGTGCACATCGCCACCTACTGGACCTCAGTATATATTACAGGATCTAGTTTGTGTGAGTCTGCCATATACTTCAATACTGACTATTATACAACAATACATTCCATAAAACCATTGTTGTATGTTTGTTATTTTAATTTTCAGCCATGTTGAATGTCCTGACAGGCTCATTTCTTTGTCATACATCTCTGGATATAAATATCTGTAGATATGATATCAATGGTTGACATGTGGGAGGAAGAATATAGGTTATGCAGACCAACTAAGTCATCTTCCTTGTGCTGAAACTCAGAGTCAGAGCGTTTACTATAAATAGCAGCTGTGTTCTGGTTACCTTGTTAACTAAACTCATCTCATATTAAACCACAGTATTTAACAAAATCATTCATGAAGACAGTTGCTGATACATTAGCTGTTGAATTAACTACGAAATTGACTGGATGCATTATCAATTATTGTCCTAATTTAAAAAATGATATAATTTGAAGCTTCTAGTGAGGTTTTCAATGGTAGTCTTTTTCTGTTTTTTTATTTTATGATGTCATCACATGTAAGGAATAAGTCTATTATTTCCCACTCATGGATGTTTGCCTTTGCTGTGAGTCTCTCATCTCTGGCTGACAGATCAGGGGGGTCCATGTCCTCCTCAACCAACCACCTTTGTTGTCTTACAGTATATCATAACATTTCTATTTCACCTACGCCACAGTCTGTATGACACCAGACACCTAAGACATAATAGTCTTTCTTATTTTTATTTTTTTAGGAGCTGTGTTTTGCTCTTTTACAACTTTACAGCTTTCTCTGTGATAAACTCTACAAAAGAGACGTGACAGTATGCTGATTCTGACTTTCTAACACGGAGGTAGTAACAAATATGGCCGCTGTGCACATGTGGAATTTTGCATGTGAACTTACTTTGTATTCAAAAGGATCTATCTGCCATGGAAATAGATGCAAAACCAGATAGTTTAAAACGTATTGAACTCTGTTATTGGAGCAGGAGACATCTTATATGTTTTGTAAATGTGTGTTAGGTGTGAACGTCTTTTTTTCTGTTGTGGCTGCTGAATGAATAAAATATCATGGAGAAAATATTTGGTTACTATTATGGTAAATGGCCTGTACTTGTATAGCGCTTTTCTAGTCTTCTGACCACTCAAAGCGCTTTAACACTACATGACATCATTCCCCCATTCACACCCATTCACACACTGATGACAGGAGAACCATACACAGTGACACCTGCCATCAGTAACTAACATTCACACACTGTAGTCGCAGCTACAGGAGCAATGTTGGGTTAAGTGTCTTGCCCAAGGACACAACGACATGTGGGTTAGCAGAGCCTGGGATCGAACCCACAACCCTCTAATTGGAGGACAACCGTGCTCCCCACTCACCCACATTAGATCAACTATTATTAGTAGGGCTGTCCAAATTAACTCCTTAATTTATGCAATTAATGGGGGCGAGATTAAATCATATTGTGAGATTGTTGGCACTTCAAACACTTGACTTGCTAGTTCAACATGTTCCACCTGGTGGAATTCTGCCTCCAAGATGATCAAACGTGTGTTGTTTTGTGTTAAAATACAATTACACAACAGCGTTTTAAATACACACTTTTTAAAGTGATTACTCATTACTGTAAGATTTAGTCTGATTCCTAAAACAGACTTCAGATCCAAGTTTTCTCATCGTGCGGACATGTAAATGTCCGCACGATGTAATGTGCAGATGTTATGTTTTTCCAGAAGCTTTGTGTGATTTCCTATGATCCAAATGAATAAGTGAGATGTTATTTTAGAGTGAAGGGAATTATATAGCTTAGGGAGGATGAACGGGCGCTTTGAAGACGAGCGGCTGTGTGTTCAAACCTCACATTCGGCAGTGATTTTCAAGTTCTAAGCTGGATTCCAGTTTGGAAACAGCCAAAGCAACAGAAGAGGTGGACATTTCCAGTTATTCCCAGCAGTCAGGCTTCTAACAGTGGTATTTATCCTTGGAGAAGTCAACATTACCAAAAATAAATGCAAATACTTTTGGAATTTCATATGAGCTTTATCCAATTGGCTTGTTTGAGACATTTTTTATAATATGAATGTTTTCTTTAACATGTTTTATTACACAGACTTAGAATGTATATTAAATATTATTTTACATTCTGAATTTCATGGTCCCTTCTCCTTTATGCAGCTTCCCAGCCCTGCCTCAATCAGGTGCCTGAAGCACCTGCAGCTGGGTGAGTGCTGAGGCAGTCTGGGAGATGTAGTCTCGACCATGGCGCCCATTTTGTTGTGTGGCTGCTGACTGAGCGGGAATGTAGTGCCCCTCCACTACCTTGTGAGGCCACGGTGTTTACGCCACAAAAGGAAAAATCACTAATATCCCTTTCAGAATAAAGACGTTTTAAATGTTAAGAAGGAAATTCAAATTCCACATTCACAAGAAGTGATGGACAGACACCACACCAAAATTATTATTATATTATTAACATATTTCTCAAAAAGTTAATATGGCAACACAACAACACTACAAACGTTATTTTTAATTAATTATATCCAATTCATTGTTTTATTAGTATTCATTATTTGTATTATGAATTGAAATGAGTGCGTCGACACAGCGGTGCGTAAAGACCCCTACGCAGTCTGACGTGGGGTGGGTTTCTCAGCCAATCACATACTGTCTACTCTTCCAATAACAATCTTTCATTCAATGGTTGAGCGGTAAATGAGAGGATCTTTGACATCCGACTCATCATTGTCAGTTACATAAAGTCTCATCATCACCTGAGATCAAAAGCGTAGAGAAGTAAGTGTTTTTTTCCTCGTAAATGTGATAATAATCAAAATTCTTTAAAATAATTTCAGTTTTTTTATGTCTGTATTAACAGCAATGTTTTAATATTCATTTCTGTATTTTTTGCAATTTTTCAAATTAATTTCAGCTGTTTTCATTTCAGCTTTTTCAGCAAATCTATTGAACTTCCTTTCAGCTTCTCCCATTTCTATATTTTCAGCAATTTCGAAATTAATTTCAGCTTTTCTAATATCTGTAATTTCAGCAAATGTATTAAAATAACTGATGTTTTTTTCTTTTTCATTATTTTAAACAATGATGATTCTTATTGAGCCCGTATAACAGTATTTACTGTTCTAATATTTGTTGATGCAGTCGATGACAGAGAGTAAACTTGGACCAAAAAATAATGACAATAGAAAGGACTCTAGGTTACCACAACGACAAGTGAATGATGCTGTATAGATGAACAATTTTCCGTCAAATATTGGTTCAGTAATTTCAGTAATTTGTCATGTCACATATTTTGCTTACCTCATTTTCCCAGTTTGTTAATCAGTCTCACAATAAACTGAGAAGGCTAATTTGTCAAACAATTTGGTTCACAACAAAATAACACACTGCAACTTTTCCTGTGATCGCCGTTTGTGTAAACATTACTTTACTTTTCACTTTTTATGATAGAATTGACATTCCTAGATGCTGCTATTGGATTACAACAAACATGCTTGAAGCTGTGACTGATGATAGCACGGAGTACGATTCACTCCATAACGAGCGTGTGCTCGACCAATAAATCCACCATGTTGGTTGGTTTTGAACTAATGAACAATCGGGAGGCGGGTCCTGTATTGAAAAGGGCGGCGTTGATAACCGAACCTCAAGAGTTCTCGTGCCCGTAGTACCGCTTCCCATTCATTTTGTTTAACCACATGCTGGATGAGGGCTGTCACAAAGGGTGAGTCAGGATGCAAAAGGCCTCGTGTCTCAGCTTTATTAGATAGGTGTCCCTCAGTGTGATTAGTATGTAAATGTATCACAAGTTATTATTACTGTTTCAAACTTTTGGCACTAAAGTAACTTGATGCTGTGTTATTTTAGCAGCATGAGGCTGGTAACTTAACAATATGACATTAACATGCTTATGTTGTACCTTTATAATGGCCTCAATATTATTTATCAATACAGTTGTGGCATCTCTCCCCCTGATCCCCAGAGTTCCACCATCAGCATATATTGATGAGCATATCCTTCATTTTGAAAAAAATCCTTCATTCTTAATCCTGTCCTGACTATGATGTTAAATGACATAATAACACATACTTGGGAGATTGGAACAAATCACACAGCTATGGCCCATTTCAAATAACCAGTCCTTAGAGTCACTGGCTTTTTTAGTGACTTTCATTGTAAAGGATTTCTCTTTTTAATTACTCAACATCCTTTATGTTTATCTTGATTTCCTAAATCAGTTTTGGTATGATGCCCTCTGATGTTAGACAGTTTTATTAATTTCAAAGTCAGCTCGGCGTCAAAGGTTGAGTCTCTATTATCTTATTCTTTAATTAGATCAGCCGTTTTCCTCTTTCTTCTCTTGATACAGATCTTTCAATTCCACTGGGTCTATTGGCAAAGCTTTCCCCCAAAATATTAGCCTTGTCAGATCTGTGGCCTCCGCCCCGACACTGGAATCTTACTGTACCATCTTTTGACGTTCCATTTCTTTCACATTGGTCTTTTCAGGAAAGTGTGTGTCAGCAGTTGGATTCAATCTTAAAAACACTTCATTGAGTTCATTGCAAGCTCAAGTTTAGTAGAGTTAAATAAACCAAAATGACTATTGGTTTATTTAAAAGCATTAACGAAACATTCATTATTTTGATCTATTTTTGCATTTCATATAGAGCAGGTCTAGATAGTTCTTTACAGAGGCCCAGCGCCCCCCCACAACAAGTCACATCCACTGTGCAAAACCATTTGGTTGAAAGTAAATCAACTTGCACTCAAAAAGACCTTGCCGTTTTCAATAAAGATGCAAAGGACTTCATCGCGCTTCAGTGAAACTCCTTTACAATGTCTTTATTTATTTCTCTGTTGGTGTGTGTTTTGTGTGTGTGTGTGCATTTCTTCTGGGTTGCATGCTTAAGTGTGTGTGCTTGTACAGTTTCACATGTGTGAGGCAACTTAACAATGAAGTGGTTTAAATCACATTGGAACACGAACAAAAGAAACAAAAGAGAAATGGAATCAATTCACAAGCTCAACATCTACAAAGATACACAGCTCAGAGAGCTTCATGTCATCAGCTGAAGAGAAGTGATGGAGAACCTGAAGACCTTCATTTGATTTTAAAAGCATCAGTTATGCGGGGAAAGCACTGGCTACTGTATAGAACAATTTGAGCCAGCCAGAGGGAAATCTTTCCAGCAGAGCTGAAAAATGCATTGGTTAAGACTCCACTAAGACTGTGGCTTGAGATTCCCCTTGATTTATAAATAATTAGTCATTGATAATTCATGAGAAGACCTATTTTACCTTGTTGCTAACATGGGTATGTTACATTGATTGTGGCATGAGAAAAAATATTCCACTTTAAACTCCACTGCAACGTTGCTGTCTCATTGAAGTAAAAAAACCAAACACTTAAACTATAGGAAAGATTTAAACACACACACACACATAGACAGAATTAGATAATGCATCGTTTGTCCACATCACATGTCATTATAAGTTTGTAATCACACAAAGACTATCACAAAGTTACTATTTAGCCCCAAACACCTAACCCTCCACCTTTAGGAACCCCACCCTCACCCTTTCCTTTCAGTTCATGGCGGTGCAATTTGATTGACATGCAAGAGCGAAACCACATCGAGTGACGTTGCAGCGGACGAAGCTCCGCTCTATGACTTCACATCCTGCTTCTTTTTCTGGAATCTCCTGAACTGCGACTGAATGGCCACGGCGGCCTTCTCCGTCTCCGGGTTGTCCATATCGATGTCGAAGTCCTGGGGGAGGTTGTTCTTGTTCTTCTCATCTTTAGAGGAGAGAGTGGGGTGAGGATATTGAGAACAGTGATTGTTGTTTGTCAGTATCCTTATGTGTCCAACCCTGTATTGGCTATTTCTGAGGAGGTGGGGAGGATTGTACAGGTTGCCGCTCAATCACAGGGCCCACACAATTTTTTGCGATCAAATTCACATCGGCAATTTTGACTTTCCAATCAAGCTCAAACTCAAACCCCCAGATTGCCTATCGGGTGTCCAATATTTACCAGTATTATACAATACAATATTATACCCGTGATTAAGATTTATATGCTAACATGCTACATTAAGAAGGAGAACATGATACTTCCTCTTTCCTTTTCATTTCATTTTCCTGCGTTGGCAAGTTAGCAAGGTTAAATTAGTATTTAGCACAAAGCAGTACGGAAATTGCTCTCTCTCAAAGTTTTTGTCGTCAATCCAGTTCCATATGTGTATGTTTTTTGCTTTCACAAAAGACGGATGACGACTAACTGCTCGGTTTGCCAAATGCACATAAAAGATTTATATTATTAAAAGAGAGGGTTAACTTGTAAGCATGCAGAGAAAATAGGTTTCATGGGCAGTTGTTTTCTGTGGTTTAGGAGTTAGGGTAACCTTAGTCAAATCAGATATGATTATGTTGGATATTAACTAAAAGGACACAGAAGACCAAACAAAGAAGGCTACTTGCTCTCTTTAGTCTGAACACTTTTATGCCAGGCTCATCATAATAAACCATTGTAAATAGCAAGAGATATGTTGTCAAACTAGATATCCATACAGTACAACAGCATCCCTTGTGAACAGTCTAAAATTAGATCAAATAAATGCAATATCACCAAAAAAGTACATGACAAACAGCAAAAGAAAAACATCCTGAGAGCCCATATAATAATAATAAGTGTACAGTGAAGATTAAAGACTGAAGTGCAGACACAAGTGAAACGATTGCGGTTTATGCAATGTGACCCAGTGAGTTATTCTTTGAGCAACTCGCTTGTCGTGCAGGGCAGTGCTCCGTGCGTGACTGTGATGACCCTACGGAAACGCTGTAGCGTAAATAGAGTTTTTCAAAATGGCTGACTTACGTTTGGATGGAACCTTTTGTTGACTTTTAGGACCTTGGATGACATGTGTGAACAAATTAATATTTTATGATTGCAGAAGCTGCACAAAGTCTCCCTGTTTCACACACACAACACGCGTTGCTTCTTTAAGATGAGTCCTGCTCTGCAGCTCGGATGAGCTTTACTCCCCAGAGGGCATATCACAGTTTTAGTAATCTGTCGTGCTGATAGACGATTGAGTCGTATTGCCACTATGAACGATGGAGGCATTTCCATAAGAACTTTATGAAAGGTCATGGTATAATTTGGTTCCTGTGGGAGTTTGATTGATGAGGTCAGTGAGTGACTAAACTGAACCATGAAAACTGAACCACGGGATAAACTAAAATACTGATAATGGAAAAGGAACTGATTTATTCCCTTAAATGAAAAAGTCATTGATTTTCATAGAGACACGATGCCCTTTCAGTCAATCCCAACTGGTCATACCAGCTTTCCGGTTGACATTAAGTAAAAAAGCATCTTTGCATCTGAAAACTTATGAAACCGATATAAAGAAAATATTCATGATTGTATTCTGTGAATACAATAATAATGTATGTATGTGTTTAACATCTCCACTGACAAGGGATTATAAACCCTTCCTTTCTATTCCCCACTCTTTTATAATTTAAAATGCTTTGAATAAATATATAGATAGAAATGATGGTAGATACAAATAAGAAGCTCTCATTTATTGGCTTGAATTATTGTAGATTTCAGTAACCTTCCCAAATAAAAAAATCGAAATAAAGGGGGGCAAGTGTGGCAACGAATGCAATTCGCACCTCTATCAAATTCAATTACGCTGTCTAAAATCACCCATGAACACTGTTGAGATGTTCCCCTGTGGACTGAGCCGGAGCTGCAATGCACTTCATCATCCAAGAAGCTGGGACAGGAATCCATTCCCACACAGTGTCCTGAACGTGTTATCAGCAGCCCCAGAGAGAGGAGAGAGGCCGCGCATGGTCTGCATGTACATGATGCTGCTTTATGGGCCAAATGGGCAGCCATTAACCTGCTACATCCATTGTGTCAGGAGAGGGTTCACTTTAAGGAATGAAGGAGACTACCTTCGATAATTCCTAGGTATATTTTATCAAACGCTGCCCTGAAACCTAATTTGGTGGATGTGATGTCTGCAGAAAGCACTTAAAAGATATCAGATCCTCTTGCACGGTTGAAAATAGGAGACTAAGTAACGGTACACAACCCGTTATTTAATGACTGAAATGTATCAGGGTAATTCTGCAAGCCTTTGAGGAAATGTCTGGCTGATTCACACGTCTCACCTAATCAATCAAGTTAATTCTTAACAGGCCTATGCTTTTTCAAACCGGAACTTTGCCAGGATGACAGTTGTGCTCTTAACAACATTCATGGGTTTCAAAGGTATCCCAAGTCAAGTATCCAGAGCCCAGTTTGGTTGGAATTATATTGTGCTGCCAACAATACCATCGCCCAGTTGGCAAAGTAGGGCTCGTTGAATTGCGACTATGGTTGAGTAGACCTTTCTATCACCATTACACCTTTGTTATTTTGTTTCTTACTTAGAAAAGAACAAGACAGTTATTCAAATCAAGTTCCAAATTGAGAACTATTGTTCACAAAATAAGCCGAATAATCGAATATCATACCTTTCTATGTGATAAAAGGGTAAAACAAGCCAAAGCTTTGTTCTCTTACTATTTATAATCAATAAAGACAAGAAAACATTACGAGCGTGATGATTATAAAATACCTGGTCCAGCAGATGGTTTGCTGTTTCCAGTCATTGCTCCGGATGCTTGTCTCTGCAAAACAAAAGAAAAACACCTATTTGTCAATAGCAGGATATGAATTTCTTTTTCAAACGATTTCTATATATTTCCACAAAATGCAGTAAATTAAACATCTATATGCCAAGACATGTCTTATCTTCCCCACTGAGAGAACATCACAGGAAGACATCCTCGCTCTGTGTCCCTGTGATCACGTTGCAGTCATCTGCCTCTTTATGAGGGGGGAGATACGTTTGTCTATAATCCATGTTTCTGCTGTAAGGGCACGTTCACCCTGTCTCCTCTAAAAGCCCCTGAACGCTCTCCTCCAGGCAGGCCGCTGCTCTGCAGCATCACGAGAAGCACTCAGGTTCCAAATGCAGAGACACAACAGTGTGTACACTGAAACAAATTGCTGTAGATTTACGGTGCATTTCTAACGGTATCTCACAGTATGTCATAATAACTGTAACATACAGTTAAATTTCCATCCTGTGCTTGTAAATTTACGGCCAATGTCATGAATAAACAGTTAAAGCTGTCAATTTACAATAATAGCAGACTACCGTAATTCAACTGCATGTTACATATATTTTATGAAGTGGTGGAAATACACATACAAGTGCAGTGAAGTAAGTCATCATAATTAGATAGTATCTCACGAGATACGATGATGACTTTGATTTACAGGACATTACCATACATGCAGCTGTCACTGTTATCCAAAACGCCCATGGTTTGACATAATTGTATGTGGAGTAATTGGGGGTTAGGTGTCTTGCTCAGGAACACTTTGACTTGGCACAGGGAGCAGCTGGGATTTGAACCACCAACCTTGCACTGCACAGCACACCCTCCCTATCCCATGAGCCGCATTTGCCTTCGTTTCAGTGGCCGGAATGTAAAGATTATAAATATTTGTTTATTCAAAGTGTTCATTGCCTAAAAGTCATTTGAGTGTTAATTGTGACCGACTGCTCCTGAACGTGACGTCAGACGCGTAATCTCAGTTCATCCAGAACACCTGTCAGTGCAGTTCAACATCGGAGGAGTTTCTCTTTGCCTCGTCTCTCCAAGTAACGTTGGTAAGTGTTATTTGCCTAGCATGATTAACATTCTCCTTCCTTACATCTTGTTGTCTTCCTCATCTTTGTCATTTTAATATTTTACCAATGACAGTGTTATTAAATATTTTATTTTTTTTTGTTTTACAGAGGCACTGGATTACGGACGCCAGCCGTTTGCTGCGGTTAATTGAACGTGTTCCATACGTAATGTTGCAGTTAGTTTACCTTGTTCCTAATGATTTTATGATTCATTTTTTTATTATTGTATACATGCGGCATATTTTATGTTTTGTTCTTGGTTACAAATATCTAAATTTTTTGTCTTAAAGGCATCTAATAAACTCCAACCACTATGACCGAAATTAGTTTGGTTGTCTTTCTTTAATTTGTGGGGAATTAAATGCAAAAGTATACGGTTATAAGTAAACGGTAACATTCTGGTATTTATAACACAAAAACAGTAATCGTAGGGTAAGAAACTGTAATCCAATATATGACAACATACGGTATATTACGGTAGGGCACTGTAAATAAAACCGTAAGGTAGCGTTGACTGCCAGTAAATTGCAGTTAATACACAGTAAAATTGGTTCAAGTTTACGGCAACATGCCAGTAAAATACTGTTAATTTACAGTGACATTTTTTAGAGTGTATGAGAAAGTTTGCTTCAGGTTCAAAATTTAGTTCTTTACATTCTGCAATTACTGAACATCTGTTCTTTCGGGTAACATTTTAATATAAATACAAGAGCAGATAAGATTTCCTTTTCGAGAACATTATATTTCACTATCCAGCAGAGACCATCTAGCTGTGCTCTACTTGAATTATTAATACACTGAACTTCAATTACCAAAGCAGTTTCTATGCTTGCAACTCAAGTGGAAACAGAGCTGGTATGAGAACCCTGACATCATTCTCCTATGTTTTCTCTTGTGTGCCGTCACAAGAGCCGCTGCTGGAGGAGAATAGTTGTGCCCCTTGGCCATCTGTTTTCCTGTTTACGCACGGAACTCAAAGAGAATGAACACCGCCAGGATTCCCAGCGCCACGCTGACTCTCATCCGCCTGATTGTGCTCCAGTATTCAGCGGGGCAGGAGCGGTGCCACGCACCATACATCACACCTCCACCCACCAGGCGTCCGACAGCGGAGCGACAGCCGCATTTGAGGGGTTGAAAGTTGCACCGCAATATCAAGAAATAAAGACAAATGCTATATAAGCTGAGATCAATTGCCAGCTGTAACTTCTTGCTGATTGATGGAACTTGATGCTTGATACTGTCCGTGTTCCACAGCATTCTCAGACTAGGAGCACATAGCACACAACGATTTTAAAGGGTGCTCAATTAGGTTCAAAGTTAGACCTTTTTTTCCATTTTAGGACAGATTTCAACTATAAGTTATTTGCAAAACTTCATGAGGGGGCTAAAACATCTCCCTGATCACACCACAATGACGTGCGTGCTATTTCAGTCTGCCGTTGTTGATGAAGTAATCCTAAGAAGGATATATTTAGTCTTTCTACACTATCACCCCAAACCTCAAAAGCTATCACATGAAAGCATCAATAGTATTTATATTCTGGAACAAACACTGAGGAATGGAATCATTTTGTTCTCTTCTTTTCAGCACCAAACTACTTATATCATCGTCATCATTATTACCACCTCGACCCCACCTTCTCTCTCTCTGTCTCTCTTAGTCTCTCCTTCTTCCTCTTTCTGCCTGGATACAGTCGGAGGTTACATAACGGCTGCAGTCCTAATGTGCACTGGGATAACGCTCCGCACATCAGCACGTTTTCCACCTCACCATTTCCCTTTTTCTGCTCAATCGCGCCTCTCAGGTGGAGGTTCTATCTCACTCATCGCAGCACATGCCCCCTTCTCGTGCCCACAGAAGGGGGCATTTAGGAAAAAAATCTATTTGAGAATTTTTGGGAGCATGGAGTGGATTTCAAGTGAGGTGTTTGTCATCTCGTCCCGTGCGCGACCATTGGCGATGCTTGATTTCCATTACTTATTCACTTCTAGCAGCTGAGGAGGCATCGTTTTTGTTGGCCAGCAGCATTGAAAGATTCTCTGGTAATGATGAAAAGGAGCGCGTACAGCCATGCTTTTGCTTCACAATCAATTTCAGCACCTTCATCAAGATTAAGTGAAAACACTGGTGTGAGTGAGGCTTTAATACAAGTTGTTATACTGTGAGGCATCAGGACTGAGACTCAGACGTATAAAACAGAAAAATACTTTAGGGCATAGGGTATTTACTGGCAACAAAGACAGACTACTTTACAAAAACAACTCAAAAGCAGCACAAGCACAAGCCGACTCGACACGCTGTGATGGTTCACTTGTGTCTTTGAGTTGTCACATATACGTATATAAAACATTTAACCAGATGTTAGTTGGTATATGCAAAGATATTTTAGAAGGTTTTCAAAATGCTGTCATTTGACAAAAACAAACAAAAAATAAGGTATAAAACCATCTGGCGTTCAGCTCACTGGACACGCCCAGGCTGCAGTTTACATGCATAAAAAAACATAGCGATCTAACTATAATGCTTATTAAACACTAGACCAGACTGCTGTACCAACACACAAACATCTACAGAAATTCTTTCGGGCCTTCCAAACAGCACGGCTCCTCATTAGGGAGCTGGACGAGGGATCTGTTCAGTGGCAGTAATGTGGCGAGCTAAATGGAGCCTTGCCAGCTGGTGTGCGGGGCTTGTGCTCAGCTCGATGCCGCGTCGTCCCCGAGGACCAGCCGCCATGTTTGCTCGCTTCCGGTCGCATATGCCTGAGACAGAGGCAGCTTGACAAATGGATGGCAATGACGATAATTACATCGCTATTGATGATGTCCTTTGCACAGAGTGTGTGCCACATATGGCTCTGTCTGCCGTGGTTGACTAACAATGTGCAAAGCTTGATAAACACTTATGATTTTGTTCCTACTTGAGCTGACTTACAGTATGTGTGCAGTGATGTTTTGAATTGAAAAAACTGAATCGCTGCAGACTGCATCTGTACAGATGAACTACGTAGAGCTGACAGAGTCCAGATGAGTTGAACTTGCTGTTGCTTCGGTCACAAAGGTTTAGGAACAAAGGTTTGGCGTGACCATGGAGGAAATCGGCGAAATAAATAAATTACCTTCCCAGTGTGTGGGAAGCTATTTTTGGTTCTCATGGCAGCTCAGGCTCCCCAGGGAGACTCAATGCTGCACTCAGGATCTATTAACAATTTAACGTGGAGACAACAAATCTGGGTCACAGGCGGCTCATCCCAGCTGTAACTCCTGAGCAGCTTCCCCACCAGCAGGCTGGAAGTCGTGGAGAAGCGTCTCTGCTGAGGGATGATTGACTGAACATGTGGCTGTTTTGGCGACATCAGAAATGCGTGCTTGTCTACTTGTAATGGGTAAGGAGTCTATCGAAATATGCGTGTTTTGACTCTTTGAATGCAGCAAAAATGAAACTCCTCCAATTGGCAGCTTCAAAATGCTCATTAAGCTGTTAAAAGGCCCAAATTGTCATTTGAAATAAACATGTTTACAACTTGGTACAATAATTTTTGTTCCCTACAGCTAGTATTTCTCTTTATGACAAGTGTATTTTGGATTTTAAAATAATAAAATCTTTGTTACAGATATGTTTTTTAGCGTCTAATAAGCTTTTAAACACATAACGCTGCTCTATAAGAATAGAGCAGATGGATTAAAAGACATGAAAGTGAGTGCCACCACTCTTTAGAAATATATACAGAAAATGTAAAGCAGTGCATCGCAATGTTTGACCTCTTTAATGCACAGTTGTTGCAGGGGGTGTAACGTCAATACTATTAAATAATAGTTTTAATTTACCAAATTCTAACAATCTTACTGTGTGTAGTTTAGGAAACTGACAGCTGTCAAAACTGTGCACCAGCACTCAGGCAAAACAGCTTAAGATCTAAGACT